TTAAATTAAATGAAGTGATATTTTGAAAATGTATATTTTTAAAAATAAATTTAAATATTATAAAATATAATAAAATTAAATAGCGAAGTTCTTAAATATTTTTAAGATATCCGAAATTGTCTCTACATTTCAAATTTTTAGAAAATATAATATATTTTAGATACAAATATATTAAGTATCTACCATATAGTGATAGAATTATAATTTTTCAAGAAACTTTATATATATTTTCAAATACTATGATAATATTTGTTTCATATATGTATAATGTTTTAAGAGAATGCATGCTTAGATCGTTATCTTGCACTTCAAATTTCGGCGTTTTTCTCTCTGCATGCATCTACCGACAATACACACAAATCTTGCATTGCATTCATATTAAACACAAATGTATACATTATGTTTTCTTAAATATAATTTCTTACAACTGTACTAACAGTTACACTATTTAATTTTAACGTGCTAAACAAAAATGCCCGTATTATACCGTCTTACGTATGCAGCATTCTAAGTCTTATCGTACTCGCTATTCCGCGCCTTCGTAGCCAAGTCGTTACATTATTCATGTTTAATATCATCAAGTATTTCATCCCCCTGACTAAAAGCAACCAGCCAGCCACCACCGGTGGCGGCGCTAATATTGCCAGGAGGGATGGACTCTGATGGACGGACAGCAACGATAACACCTTTGCACGGCATGTAAAGGAAGCTTTTTTCAAAGCCAGCCCTCGAAATATATTTAAACCTTTCTTCCTCGGTATGAATTATTCTTTATTTTACCATCGGATTTTCATACTCTGGCTCTATTTTAAGCAATTACGAAATTTAATAATTACGTAACAACAGTAATTCCATTATATTTCTATTACATTAAACAGGTTTTTAAATGTCTGTAACAATTTAATCAAATAAAATAAATACTATAAGTCAATTATATCTCAAAGTTCTTAAGCGACAGACTTCATTCATAGAGTATGCTCACAAAAATAATTATATTTTTCAGAATAAAAAATAATGCTCCAAAATATATTACAGAAATAACATGTGATTAACATGTAGTATTATAATACTTTCTTAAAATGTAAAAATTCTGAATATCGAATTTAATTTGATTTTCGCGAAACTGTTATAGTTTTCATAAAACCATATTTTCTTTAATCCTTCATGATCATACCTCCTAAGAATTTTATGTTGGTCATACAAAGGGCAAAATAATCCCAATATTTTAACTGATTGCCGTATTTACAGCTTTTATTTTTTTAAATTACAAAACTAAATACTTTAAACATTGTAGAATATGGAAATGCAGCTTTTTAAAGTTTTTAATTTTAACATATTTTAAAAAATCACGAAGACTGATGTCCGGAGTAATATTCTTTAGATGCAAAAAGAGTATTTTGAATCTCGAAGAAATGGCACTTTCTCGTTTTAAAATCCCGTTTTAAAAAAACTCACTCCTTTTTGAGATCCGTTAAACTTCCAGTGATCACGAAAGGTTAAAATCATAAATGAGAGAAAAAAAGAAGATACTTTCTCGTTTTAATGCACTTTAGCGTAAAAAATAAAAATATTATAAAGAAGAAATACAAAAGCAAGAAATGCACATCATTGTCAAGAGCAAACATCATAAGAGCCGCAGGTATAATACACATGGGAAGAAGCAAAAGCTTTTAATCCCGGTCGCGTCAAACAAAATGCGGAAATAGAGTCGAGGGGGTATGGGCACGTCGGTAACGTGGCACGTCGTCAGCGTCCCGACGTCGCCGGGGAACGAGTCGCCATCCTCCGCATCCCATCAGACTCGCTCCCGTTCCAATTCTGCAGTCTATGGCCCCAGCGACCACTATATCCACTATCTCCCTCTTTTCCGCGCTATTCACTCGTTGCCCCGTGCAGGGACCGACAGTGGTGGTTCGGCATCATCCAACCCTGAACTGAACTCGCCGACAATACGCCGGAAATTTCACCGAACCGTTCGCACACTCGCACACCCACCCTGCCAGCGGAGCTGACAACGGGCGCCGCTGATTTCCGCGGGGAGCAAGGTCTGATTGTGCGCTGGTTAACATCGGGATGCCCCATCGAGATACACGCAATTGGATACTATTATCGATTGCAACCTGATTCGCGATCGATATCGTTCCATCCTGAATTCGTCAATTAATTTTACATAAATGAAAATTGCAACTATAATTGTAAACGCTGGAAAAAATTTAAAAGATTGAGAGTCATTATTTGTATTAAAAATATCTTTCATTCCTTAAAAGAGATTCATAATTAATTCAATTTTATACAGAAAATATATAAAAATATAACACATAATAAATCTAACACAACATAATAAATCTAACACAATTTCTTTTATTATTGATAATTGTCTAAATCTAAAGGATTTAATATGTATAAACATGGTATGCTCGCAAATTACTAATTATGCATTATAGGCTAAATTAAAGTAGATTTTTGTGCTTTAAAATTAAAATGTTATTATAGCCATTAATCGAACATATGGCTAATTATTGACCAAAATCCACATCACAAGAACAATTATGAATATTTTACTAAATATAACAAAAGTCAAGAATCAAGTCACCAGTTAATATTATTTTTTAATGAATGCACATGACGAAGATATTAATTGATATTTTTATACAATTTCTTCAGCATAAAAAGCATTTATTTTTATTTCGATTATTATTAATGACGTAAGAATTTTATAGAAAGCGTGAATCATTGTATTTTAAAATAAAGATGTATCCAAAGTAAATTGGCAGGAAGTACATCGACAGATTCAAAGTCATCCTAGATCGATGAGAGATTGACTGATTTCTTTGTTGACTCTTGCGATATTCTCATTTTCCTGTAAGATTCTTTCATGGACATCTTTATTTCATGCAATTTGCGAAGACATACGGTTGAAAATTGGACGATTCTTTCAAATAAAGATCATTTATGTGTAATATTCGAAATGACATATGTAGAACAGAAACAAAATACAATTTCCTAAACTTACAATTTTATGTAATGATTAGAATTAGTAATTTAGAAATCAAATGAATATTTTAGTTCATGAAATTTTGTGATGAGTTTTTTATTGATCGTTTTCGCGTTGAACATCAAAAAGGCCAATTGATTTTTCATGGATTGCTCTATCGCATGCTTATACATATTATCTCAAAAACTTTTAGAATAACTAAACTGATTGTGAAACTAGGTTAGGTTAAGCCATATCATGCGACTCAACATCAAATAATCAGCAATGCTCGTGGTTCCCACCGGTGAAAGAAGAAAGGAAGAAGAAAGTTACCAAGAAGAATCCAATCGCAGACTCGGTATTGTGCTCGGACGGTTGCAGCGGCCACAGCAGCAATGCCGCCGGCATCACCAGGGGTTGCTGAAAGAGAGAAGAGCAGGAGAGTGACGGTCACGAAGAAAGAGGCGGAAAAGAGGAGAAAGAGAGAGCGAGGGAAAGACATGGGGAAACAGAGAGGCAGAATGATGAAGGGAGAGGACGGGAGAAGAGAGAAAGAGAAAGCGAGAGAGAGAGAGAGAGAGAGAGAGAGAGAGAGAGAGAGAGAGAGAAGAAAGAGGAGTGCGCTGCATGGTTCTCCGTTGCGATCATTAATCACGTGCTCGTGTCACGGCTAGCACCACGCCGCCAGGGGTACCTTACTAAGGGTATACGGCAGTAGTATGAGGCTACTAAGGGGAGGGCCAGGATGCTCCCGCTCTTCTGATCACGTTGAAGACCGAGAGCAGCCAGCCTTCGCGGACGACACGGAGACAGGACGATTACCATTATCGTCGCCCGCAAGAACCGAGCGCGTGAATAATATTGCACGAAGCATTATCACGCTCACGTGAACGACGAATATAATACTGAGATTATTCTTAGATATTTAATTAAACTTTATTAGATTGAGAAAGAACACAATTCTATAGAATATAATTCTATGTAGAAAGAAAAAGATTGGCAAAAGGAACTAAAATGTTACAGTGTAGTTAGAATATTTTTATGTGTAAAGTGTTATATATGTATATTAATTTATTGGCTGTATTTCAATATTTATTGTTAATACTGGTAATAGACAGTATATGTACGTATGCAACATATTTATATATACGTGTACTATAAATTTTTGGCATTAACAAACGAATATCGAAACGCAAGCATTATACTATAAATAATAAATATTGTATAAAAATAGGATCTCATGTATATAACTTGTTTCGTTCCAAATCTTAAGTATTTATAACGGAAAATAGGAAAATTAGTACACATCACGATTTCCGATTCGACTTCTCCCGCTATTTTAGTCGCATCAAAGCATTGTCGGTCTAGGCATTGTTTCGCTCTTAACCCTTTATCCAACCCTTCGTCTAACAGAAGACGATCATAAATAAGTCAGTGGCATGCCATCATACTCCTGTTGTAGAAAGATTTATTTGAACGTACAGGTACTTTGTAAATTTCCATGACGGGAATGAAAGTTAATGGACGTATTCTTCTTTCTTATAAGCATTCGTAGGAAAAATGTCATTGCTATTTCTCTGTTGGTAGTTATCAGTTGCAATAATTATAAGTATCCTTGAGAAAGATATTGTTCAAGATCTATGTTAAATTTATGTATGAAACATTATCTTTTGTATTTGTATAAATAAAAAATACATGAGTAATTCTTTTAAATAAAGTTATAGTAATTTTTATTCGTGATAATATTGTGTATAATACTGTGTAATAATAGTGTGTGTAAAAATGAAAAAAATTTCGATCTTCTCACTGATGGAAATTTTCGATAATGGGATAAAACTAAATAATCATTGCCTTCGGCATTATGCATGGAACAGGGCAACGGGCGTTTGCCACGGTGAAGGATGAGCATGCGTGATTCCAGCCCAACTCCTAATTACTTGGAGATAAATATCACTCGGCGCTTGCGAATAGCGTGCTCCTGCAGAGCCGTCTGAAAGATCGTCAGTCAAACCGGTGAGCTACGCCTGGATGTTATCGCGAGTTGTAGTAATCTTTAATTATACTGATTTTGGGTTATAGACGCATTTAAAACATCAACTAAGAGTAATTTAACTTGATTTTTCTCACACTAACTAACATTGATATTAATGTCTTGATTGTGCAAGTACAATAAATGCATTTTGTGATATCATGTTATTTTCATGTAGAGTTATATAGAAACCATGTTTTTAATTTAAAATTAGTGCATTGAAAGTTATTTAATTTATTCTAATGTAATAATGGTTAGAAATAGTGTTTTTAATTAAAATTTTTTAAATAAAAATATAGGTATGTATATTATATAACAATTAATTATTAATGAGATTATATTATAAGGTTTAAGTATTTTGCAAGTACGTTTAATAAAAGAATTGTTCTTTATTCAATCTTACAAATCAAATAAAAACAATTTAAATGTACATTTATTATTAAAACAATAATTTAACTGATTTGGCCGAATTTAAACATCTGATTGAGGTTGAGGAATTATCTTTTTTTACTATAAGAATTCAAAAATATTTTTACTTGATAGTAGTATCAACGTATAAGGTATTGTTCTCCTAATTAAATTAATAGTTAGAGTAAGCTCCAGCATATAACATTAATCCTTGTGGTATTAGTAACACGTTGAAGAGTTGAGCCGAGATCCCGAAGAGAAAGAGGCATATAGAGAGAAAGGAAGAGAAGAGAGAGAGGAGAGAGAGAGAGAGAGAGAGAGAGAGAGAGAGAGAGAGAGACAGAGAGACAGAGAGAGAGAGAGTACTGAGAGACTAGAGAACGACGACACTAAGAGTTCAAGCCACGTTAAGGTTTCAGGATAGCAGGATATTACCTTCAGAATAGTAGACCAACCGGAAGGAGATGAGAAGTAGAGCATAGCTGAGGATATTGGAAGAGGCACTTTAAAGTGTCCAAGAAGAGAAGATTGTATCCCTTCCCCCTTCTCTCTCCCTTTTCTTGTTCTTTTTTTTTCTTCCTCTTCCTTTTCTTCCTTTTCTATCTTTCTCTTTCTACGTCTCATTTACTTTTCTTCTACTCTTCTTTCACTCGTTTCTTCCCTTTCTAATGTTTCTATTTATTTATCATCCTTTTATCTAGCCTTCTCCTACTTTAATCTGCAGATTTAAAATAAATGGATATCATTATTCTGAATGCTGACAGTTTGAAATGAAATCATGCTAACCTACTAGTGTGTAACTAAAAAATAATAATCTTTCCTTCATCGATCTTTATCATCTTATAATTATTGGGGTTTAAAAAAATTCCGCAACAGATTTAAGTTTGATATAGGTCGAGCAACATAGTAAAGTAACATGTATTTATAATGCAATCTAACGCGAATGATTTTTTAGACAACTATGTTAGCATGCAACCCGGTAGTACCAGGAGAACGCCGGATATTACGACAGCTGATGGGGACAGAGCTTGTGGAACGATCAATAATATAATACCGTCGCCCCAGGTACCACCATGCTATCACACCATCAAACATCGTACTTCCCATACATCGAGATCTGCTTGCCTTTAGCCTTTTCATCCCCACGCATGCTGATGCACGCTCTTTTTTTAGGATTCATGCGAATCTGCGGATCTATGTATTGGTCAGAGCCACAAAAAATTCTTCCTGCGATCTAAACGAATAAATAAAAAAAGAAACAACTTTGTTATTTTCGAAGCGAAACATATATCACATAGGAGAGATAAATTTGTACTGCATTATTATAAGTATATTATCTAGCGTTAACTTTTTAGTATCGCAAATTTGAAAATATGTATGTATGTAATAAAAAGAATTATTAGGCAAAAGAAATTAAACGTTTATTTAACAAAGTTTATGCGGGACTATTTGACTTCATTAATTTTTCTTCATTATTTCTTATAATAGATTACAATAATATAAATAATTTTTATAACATCGAAGAGAGATCAACATATACCTGCCTCGAAACAAATACCTGCATAATATTAAATTAATAAATAATTAAAATTTTTAATCTCATATATCATTATAATCTATTATACGTATATTACTGTTTTATATAATAGATATACCATTTTATATAACTTTTATGTAATATATTATATAATAATATAATACACTTTATTTTTCAATTGTTATCTTTATTTTATACAATTCTTGCTAGGCAAACAAAACAGATAATCGAACTATTCTGCAAATTCTCGGAAAATCACCATTTATGCATTATAAAAACAAGTCTGGCGTCATTCAATAATCACGCGGATTAACTCAGAGCTGAAAGATTACTATTTTATAATAATAAATCTTATTATTCATAGAGATTATCGGTTTCTATTTACATCTATATATACATACTAAAATTTTTTGCTTCTGATAATATCATGAAATATGTTTAAATAGCTTTATGCACTTTTCAATTTTTTGCTTTTTATAACACATTAATTTTATCCATAAAAGAAAGTAACGGGGAATATAAATATTTAAATAAAAATAATTTTGATATAAAAGAGATACAGAAATTTTTTATTAAAAATCATAAAGCTTTTTTAAAAATTTCTCTTAATTTACAACAATACATATATTATTATACCAAAAAATGTTACTGCTACATTCTCCAAACGCTCTAGACATTTTAGTGACATCTAACGAAGACACGACAACGACGAAGAGGAAGTAAAGAGAATAAAATCACACGTAACCTATAGAAACTGCTACATAATTATTTTTTGTTTAAAATATGTGACAAAATATACATATTAGGTTAATATTTTTAGCTGTATATCTTGCAAATTATTTTATAATTGAAAATCACAAAAATTAAATATTTTTTCTTACAAAATTTATGTATTCACTAATATAGATGTCTATACTAGAAAGGTCGAGAAGAAGATTTCTGTCTTATCATCGCATATGCGCCTTAATATCGTACCTGAAATTTCCGATAGAGTGAGTCGATTAAATATGCAGCATTCTTTCTTTATTTATTTACTGAAATTATAATATGTAAATGTCAAGAAAATATAAATAATAATTTAATATTAATAATAATATTAATAATAATTTAATCTAAAAAATAATATCAAAATATATGTACTAAACATATAAATAATTACATTTTTATTAAATTTTTTAAACATTCCGTTTTCTAATTTAATAATACATATCATAAAAGACATATATCAATTACATGTCTATTAGGTATATATTACATTTTTAGTTGTTATTAAAAAGAGAGAATGTTTTATATTATATTTAATAACATTTAATTAATACTTTTTTTATAAAATTGATTACTTTTTTATTTTTTTTAATGGAAATTCTTTTTTTTTAAATTGTGGAAGTTTAAGATTGTGATGATAGCACAAAATATACGAGTTTCTAAGAAAAATAAACACAGGAAATAAAATGAGTATTCTAAATTTTTGGAAGTGAAATTTACTCTAAGAAAAGTGATAGTTGCTCCGGCAAAATAAATTTCATTTCAAGAAGCGAATTTCCTAAAAGATCAACTTGATTTAATGATTAATATCTCGCTTCGCGAGGCAGAGCGATTTTTTTCTGCTATATTCGTTTTGTGCGAAAACTCATCAAATGAGTTTAATTTCATCAAGATTGGATATAGGAGGACTAAGCTAACATTTACCTTCAATCTTTGCTGTCGAAGAGTGAAATTATTTATTCTTCGCAAAGATTGAAAATTGGCTCTCACTTGGAATGATTCTTCACTCTCTAACAGTGAAAATTTCACTTCTGCCGGACTGGCGCAACTATCACTTTTCGGGAGTGAAATTTTACTGCTAAAAATTTAGAGAAATAAGCAGTATATTTTTATTTTTCATAAATAATACAATAAATTTGCATAATGTTAGCAAGAACAGTTAAAAACTGTTGTAGACCAATTACCAAATTAAAATTTTTTAAAATATTTGCTTAAATAAATATGAATTATTCTAAAAAAAATTTTATAGAATTAACATTATAATATTGTATATTAATAATATAAATTTATTTACAGTTTTTTTAGCACATATTAACATCTTTCTAATAGGATCTTTCTAATAGATCTGATTGAGCATCAAATTATTAAAATTACTTGTTAATTTAATGATATTACTATATAGGGTGTTTCTAAAATAACGCTCACTAATCATACTATTCCTAATAAAAAAACTGAGTCGAAAAGTCTTCTATATTTTGCAATTTTCGCAATAATTTTTTTTTTAATTATGAGCAAAATGTCTAAAAGCGACGTGTAAGACAACTTTAAGGAATCTTTAAAAATTCTTTAAGAAATATCTTCAAACCATTTCACAAAGAATACAAAAAAATATCTTAAAATTGTCTTATACATCGATTTTACCTGTTTATTCGGCAACATTTAGAAATAAATTCGTTAATAATCTCGTTAACTATTGTGAAAATTAC